ATTCCAAAGTAGCTGGTAGAGTAAGTGTCGGGAATCAAAGAGCGTGACCAGGACTCGAGCTAGCTCATCCTTAAGGAAAATAACAAAATGTTAGTCTGACTAGCAGTGCATCAGAGCAACTAACAAAAAAATAGGAACATCACCAAGCAGCGCCTGCCAGTGCTTTATATTTGCTCTAAAGTTGTGCACATGAATGTCAAACTAAGCATGCAAAATTTCTTAATTTTTCCTTTTCTATTTTTCTGCCTAAAATTTCTCCCATGATATCAATTGCACAAATTTGTAATAGTTAGGCCAGATAAAAAAGCAGTTCTTTTGCTGTATAACAAAGTCCAATTCATTTTTACTAAAAACCTTTTAGAGAACACAGTCCTATTTGTCTGCATTACAGCACATAGTCTGTAATAAATAACACCAGCCAACACAGATATATTCATTATGACACCTGTAGATAAAATTACTCCTACAGATTAACCAAAAATTTACTATCAAGCTTCAGGTTCTAATCAAGATCTCAATTAGACTCAGCACACTTGCAGGGAATATACCAAAAAAGGCTAGCAGGGTGTAACTTACTGCTCTACAGTATTGTCACACCTGAACGCTTGCATGGATTTTCATTCCAAGTCTTAGCAGAGATGCAGGAAACAAAACACACCTAATGTTAAAAAGAGCACATAAATAGAAGCACGAAACAAGAACTTACCCACTGAGAACAAGGCACCACATTGGCTAAAGCCATAGCAATAGGAAGCTCTCCCTGATCACCCATCATTGTAACCAGCTCCACCAACCTCTCAAACCGATCTGCTAGCACAGTTTCTGCTAAAGTATCAAATTCTGTTCCCTGCTGCAGAATTTTAGTGAGGACTTCCATGAATGTAGCTCTTGTCTGGAGGTCTTTATGATAGCCCAAGCCTGATTAAAAAACAAAAACAACAACAAGCCCCACACTACTAAGGAGAATGTAAACATAGTTCAAAAACAAATGTCTTCATTATGTATTCATTTATGCACAGTTATCTCTAACCACTTTACCTATTGAATGCATAAGACCGCTGTCCACGTTCGCATTGAGCAAGTTTGACATAGCCAGAACAGTACAGTGCCGCAGCGAGGCCAGTCTGCGAGACATCCCACGCTTCCGGCCGCCTGTTTGTGCGCTGTCATCTTCAACTTCACTACAGTCATTTAGAAGGTTCATAAACAGAGTGAAATATCTAAAAACCAAACAACACACAAAAACACAAAACCCCTTGGATAAGTAAAAGGCATTCTACAAACCAAATAATCTTTGGTTTACCTACAGCAGAAGACAGACCATAGGTTTCCCCCAAAATGTCATTCCTGTCCTGCATCTTTTTTGCAGCTTTTTCGCTCTAAACTTTTTACTCTAAACGTTTAAAGAACCAGTCCTAAATGCTCAGACCAAACAGGTGAATTGCACTAGACTATCTTTCCAGACAGTCATCTTTGAAACCATCTGAAGTTTCAAGGACAAGAATCTAAAATATAAGCAAGCTAATTTCATGAATTAAGCATAAAACTATGTTGAAAGGAAACAAAGCCAAATTTAGTAACTGTTTGCCAAATTAAAATCTTCCCATAAACTATAAGGTAGAGATTTGTGAAATCATATGATGAGGTAATCCCTGGTTGGATAATAAGATTAGTTCTGGTAGAAATATACTTCGTAGTAAGAGTCATATGGTGCATCTACTTTAGAATTATTATATAGCACAAAGAGTTAGAAAAGACTAATTACTTAAGAAATAGCTGGGATTTGGCTTCCATCAACTCAACTCCATCTCCTTCTTCAGGTTGCAGTGGAAGCCCAGCAAGAAGAGAAACTACCGCTTCCATACTTGCTTGGTCCAAATCTCTGAAATGAAAATGTTAAGAAGCTGTGGATGAGTCGGGTAGAATTAGCCCCTTCTTGCCCTTGCCAATTCTCCTTCCCAGCACCACGTGTCTTTTTCTTGCACCTCTTGCAAGTGAGGAGAATCTTTACAGGAGTTAACTGTTTAAAAAGTTATGTCTGGGAGGACAAAAGCTATCACAAGGTGTCCAAACAACACAGATGATATGTGGACACCAAGTGACACCCGGGATGCTGCTGGCGACTTTACAAACAGTTTAGTTGTACCGTTTCTAACCTTGTCAGACATTTCACGTCTTCATCTGTTGCTTGATTAGATGTTCCCATAACCCAGTCTGTCAAATATTCCACCATTTTGTTCCTGTTTACAAACAACAAAAACAACAATGAAAACACATAAATAAAATATAGAGCCTCTTTTCCTCCAATCCTTGCCCCGAACATCAAAATATACATTTTTTTTAAATTGTATAAAATAATACTCCAGTCTGTTTCACATAAAAAATATTTTCTACGTGTATTAGTATCCTCATAGTAAAAATTTTACTGAAGTGCTGAGGTCCAAATTATTAAACCTAAAGAAAAAGAAATGTGTAGAAGTAATTCCATCATGACATAATTTTAACTGTTTAAATATGTAACCATCACTTAGAAGAAAATTGCACCTATCTATATATTATGTAAGTTTTACAATGCAATATTCACCTAAACTTCATTTCTTGGCAAAATGACAGGTCATCTCTCCTCTCCATCATTACTTCTACTAACTGACAGAGTTTAGTTTTTATTTGAATTGCATGTACCAAATTTCCAAGCACACGCACATATCTGGAAAACAAAAAAGACAGGCAAAAGACTAAATAAACACTTCATACTGCACAAAGCAAACCGCACACATTTGACAAATCTTTCCAGTTTCATGTCAGAACCGACACCCTGGGCACTGCAGCAGATGTGCGAAACTGCTTAGTGACTCTTTTGAGCCCAAGCTTTTCCCAAGCGAGCCGGCCAGCCTTTAAGTGTGCTGAAGAACAGCACAGAACTACTGCCCAGGAAGCCCCCTGTTAGTACAAAGCTCAACAGTTATCTGCTTCAGCTGCTCCTTGTCCACCAAACACCAGTGGGAAGAGCCACGGAAGTTAAGAAAGCCACTCTCCATGAGCATGCTTTATGCCATTAGTGCAAACAAGTGCCATGATTACTGAGGGCGTCAGAATTGTCACAGGGAGGATCAGATGATCAGCTTGTTTCCTACACGGACTCCAGTAGAATAGACATAAACCAGAGGGGTCCAGCTCACTCCTGAAATGCACGGCTCTGCTTGGGATGATCAGCCAGGATTTCTTACCTAACCAAATTCAGCATCATTGTCTCAATACTAGCTTGTCCAAGATGCTCTGAGCTCCCTTCTGTATGATTATCAAGCAAATTCTTCATTATAGCAATGGTTTGCTCTACAAATTGTGTATTTGTCTCGGTTAACAAAACCTACAGGAAGAAAGTATCTAGTTTTAATTCCTTGCACATATATTTATCAAATATTTCTACAGCTGTAGCATTTCAAAGCCTACTGAATGAGTGTTTTCCTAGCACCCCCTAATAAAAATTCCAACACATATCAAGATTTAATCTCTCAGCTATAGAGATTTTAAGAACATTTTCACAGATTTTGTATTCTGACACCTATATGTAAAATCACTAAAAACTCAGTAATATTTTTAACTACATTAAAGCTAGAAGCACAAATACAAAAAAGGGATGCATGCTCTAAAATATCATAATTTTTCCAAGTTCTCTGTAGAAAATAGAAACAGACAGCAATTTAATTACTTATGTGAAAGACAAGACTAATGCTTTTTATTATACATAAATATGAAAGAACATATCAACACTTTACCTGCCCTTGAGAATCAAAAAACTTGCTGATGGTGTTCTTCAGTTTGTTAAACAGCATTGGATAAAGCGCTGGACTCAACTCCAAACCCACCAGATCTTTAATATTAGTCCGTATCTGAAGTCCCACTTTCTCATGGTTACAGACCATCAGAGTCAATAATCGATCTATGAATTTGCTCACAGGAGTCTCTGCATTTCCCTCAGTGGATACCATGGATATCATGGAGCCCTTACGCTCGTTGACGGGGCCCATAGGTGGGCTGTAGGTTGCTAGTCCCGCGTTGCTACGATGCTGCAGGCACACTCCTCCGAGAGCACATAAAAACCCTGTCATGTTGATCCACTCCTGAAGAGAATCCGTGTCAGACAAGTCTATGGAGCCTCCTCCACTAACGTGAGACATTCGTCTCTTAACAATTGTCTTATGAAGACTTTCGGTAACCTGAGAAAGAATGATCCAAGAAACCTCTTCAATTAAACACAGATAATGGAGAGACGTCAGAATTTAAAGTATTCTGAAATGCAGTTTTGTCATTTGAAAATCACAGTCAGGTTCTCCAAAAATCTTTCCCTGTCTCAAGGATTTAAGATTTGTCTTTTAAGTATGGCTTATTGTCATAATATAAACAGAAATTTATCCAGAGGTCCTATTTTTAGAGAAGTCAAAGAAAGCAAGGTAAAAAAAGGAACTGCAGGGAGTTGTCCAGTCCACTCACTGCTCTGAAGCAGGATACAGGATAACTTCAGACATGTCAAAGATCTTCCAGTGAAAAAAATGCCTCTTTCCCCAGCAGTATTCCAGGGTTTTCACTATTCTTTAGTCAACATCTTCTTAATTCTTAAGCTCAGCCTCCACTCCCCTTTATTTGCCATAATTTGCTTTATTTCCTCCATAGGCACGGAGGACAACTAATTACCAATATTTTTCTGGAATACTTTTATGGATCTTAAGCCCCCCTACAATTCCCCTTTTTCTGCATTAAAACCTCAATTCCTCAAAATAAACAAGCTTAAATGTTTACTTCAAATTTCTGAGATAGGAACCTATGGAAAAATTCATAATCACCTGCCCATCTTCCATTTTGGTTTTTGGATAATTGAGGATTAGCTTTGTAGCTTGTTCCCATTTTGCATGTGTATCCTCCCAGGCCTAAAATAAGACACATCAAGATTTACCTTCAGAACTACTGGTAAGGAGACTATATATAAAAATGCATCTGAACTCAGAAGAAAGTTTACCTCTGTGTTGCCTGCAGTTGGATGTTCAATGCGTCTTAATAAAGCCATCACTCTCTTCTGAAGAGCTGCTCTTCCTACAAAGGGGCACAAGACACTTATCCAGCATTTCCTGAGAAATCAACCTCCATCAAAAAGTTACCTTTGAAAGCAATCATCAAACCAGCAAGAGGAGCATGCCCCTTTTAAAGTCTTTAGAAAAAGACACTTCTTGTTACACTCAAGAACCCTTGTGAATATTCTCCAAATATGAATATACTCCAAATTCTATATTCTCTGTGACAATTCCCAAGACTAAGATATTTCAGTGAAAGCAGGAGTAAAAATAAAACCATACATCTGAATTTATTTAGCGAACTCAAGCCCAAACAACAGTTGGATTAAACAGGCAGACAGAAAATTTCCATATGCATCATTCTTACCTGTTGACATCATATTGCTAACAGACGCAAATTCCATGAAAGTGTTGTAGTTCGGCAAAAAATTATGAACCGAGACTTCGTCTACTCCACATCTGATATCTGCTTCCTCACAGAGATGCCGGAAACAGGACATTGCAACAAGGACTGCCTCAATATCAGGGCTCCACAAAAACATGTATAGTGCGACTTCCAATTTTGTTTGGGCTTGGGGACAAATAGGTGTTCCACTGCATCCTGCTGCACTTTCCTTGGGAAAGAGATTTCCAAATTTGGTAATATTGCTTATGAATATGACAATTTTCTTTGAATTTAGCTTTACTCATATCCTTCTTTAACTGTGCTTTTAT